AGTTTTTATTGATTGCATAGAGTTTCTCCATCTTTGGCTGCAGAGCACATAGTCAATCCGACTTCTGTGTTGACTGTCTGGTGATGTGCATGTATAGAGTCGTCTCCTGGTTTGTTGGAAAAGAGTGTTTGCTCTGACCATCGTATCCTCTTGACAAAATTCTACCAGCCTGTGCCCTGCTTCATTTTGTACTCCAAGGCCAAACTTGCCTGTTATTCCAGTTATCTTTTGGCTTCCTACTTTAGCATTCCAATCCCCCATGATGATAAGGACATCATTTTTTGTGTTATTTCTAGAAGGTGTTGTAGGCCTTCATAGAACTGGTCAATTTCAGCCTCTTCAGCACCAGTGGTTGGGGCATAGACTTGGACTACTGTGATGTTGAATGGTTTGCCTTGGATTCAAACTGAGGTAATTCTGTCATTTTGGAGGTGGTATCCCAGTACTGCTTTTCCTACTCTTTTATTGACTATGAAGGCTACTCCATTTCTTCTGAGCGTTCCTTGCCCGCAGTAGTATACCTGATGGTCATCTGAATTAAATTCACCCATTCCTGTCCATTTTAGTTCACTGATTCCTAAGATGTCGATGTTCAGTCTTGTCATCGCTTGTTTGACCACATCCAGCTTGCCTTGATTCATGGATCTTACATTCCAGGTTCCTATGAAGTATAGATCTTTACAGCATCGGACTCTCCTTTCACCACCAGATACATCTGCAACTTAGTGTCCTGTCAGCTTTGACCCAGTTGCTTCATTCTTTCTGGCACTACTAGTACTAGCCCTTCATTCTTCCCCAGTAGCATATTGGACACCTTCCGACCTGAGGGGCTCATATCTTCCGACATCATATCTTTTTGCCTTTTGGTACTGTCCATGGGGTTTTCATGGCAAAGATACCGGAGTGGGTTGCTATTTCCTTCTCCAGTGGATCATGTTTTTTCAGAGCTCTCTGCTATGACCTGTCCGTCTTGGGTAGACCTGCATGGCATAGCTCATAGCTTCATGAGTTATGCAAGCCCCTTCACCACAACAAGGCAGTGATCCATGAAGGAGGTCTTTAAAAATATCATGAATTATATCCCGACTTAATCAGAGTTGGACTACCAAAAACAATGATAATGTGAATCATAGCTAACTTATGTTCCATTAAATGGAATTACTTTATCACACTTAAACAAATAAGTGTGATAAAGTCTGGATACAATGGAAATGTTCACATATGTATACATTTTTTTCAAGTAGCACTTTGTTGTGCAGCTGGAGCTCCTTCCTAACGAAAGCAATCACTCCAGTTGATACTACAATTCTCTTTATTCTAAACAGTATTGCAATTACAGTCACACAGGATAGAAAGTTGTCCTTTCGTTCTAACTAAGTTCAACCCACACTTGGTTTATGAATCCTTTGTGACCGCCCCTCCAAGGGCAGAGCTCTGTGTCCCTCCTTTTGTGTTGCTCAGTCAAGTCTCGATTCTAGCTGTCCCAGTCTGCCTGTACACCTGCAAGAACAGGCATCCTCAAAAGCCCCTTGCCCCCTATCTCCTTGGTTCTCACATTCCATCTCAGCAACTTGCGAGACTGTTTTCCCATCTACTTCCAAACTGACTTCTACTCACACCTCTGCTTTGACTTCTCCCTGAACCTCCTTATCTGGCCCATTCTCATTCTCAGCATCTGTGAAACTGGGCAGTAAAGCTTGTTCTGCTGACACCAGAAATAGCTCGTCATCAACATTCTGGTTCTCTTGGGAAGTTTCCTCCTCTTGTGTGCACGTAAGGGAATCTTCTGAGCATGTGCACATGACACACTTCCTGATTTTTCAACTGATGAGCTTTAAGTGCATTAATCCTGCAAATCCTGCAAGATACATGATCTCCAGAAAACCCAGAAGTAAACTGTGCAGGAAGTCTCCTGGGATATGCATACCAAATTTATGAAAATTGTACTGATGTGTTCAAGCCTTTTATTCCAATTCTCGAATCAAGTCTCAGGTCTTTACTTTCAAGTGCAAGTCAAGTCTCCAGTCAATGCAAGAGATTTTCAAGTCTATTCTCAAGTCTCTCCCTCCCCCTGCTCTCACCCCCTAGTTCCTTCTTCTCACTTCCTTCCTCATGCCTAAAAGAAGAGCTGAAGTCTTCTTTTCCCCTAATCACAATTCGCTCCTCCCTTTCCTGCATCCACTCCCATGAAACTCCCTCCCTCCTACCTCCTCCGCTGTGTTTGTGCCTGCCTTCCAGCCCATGGCAGATGCCTTCCACCAAGATTGTCCCAGGATATTCTGCTACATGTTGGATGCAAGCAGTAAGCCCTGGAATGACTTGCTGAAAAAACAGCAGAAATCTCAAGTTGAGTTGCTCGCTTATTGCTCCCAACTCTAGCCTGAGTCGAGTTGCTGACATGACTTGAGTCAAACTTGGGAGCAAGTTACTCAACTTGAGTTCCTGATACTGTGGTTTTCTTATGCAAATATATTGTTCCAGGATGATTCTGGCCATGCAGAAAATGTACAATGCAAACTGATACATCAGTTGGTTCCTAGATGAAATACAATGAGCAGCAGAAACAACTGAGGGAAACATAAGCTTACCAGTACTAGAGAGTCCAGTCACGATTAAGTTATAAGTAGATTACTGAATGGTGAGAGACTGACAGCAATTTTTCTATATTACAATAAACAGCAATTTTCAAAGGTTATGGCTAGTTCTGTAAGGAAGAGTACATCTCTTGAACAATCGCTATAGCCTTGCACTGCTCTTGAAATGCATAAAGTGAATTTCAGTGCTAAATTTGGACTACAAATGTGAATGAGCTTGAACTCAGTGTTGCAATCAAAGCATGTTGTTTCAAAGTTCATTATTAAGCATGCATCGACTGCGGAGGTGAAAGTGAGTTTGCGCTAATTTAATAAATACAGCATTGTTGACTGAAAATAATTTTGCACTTTGCTTTATTGAAACCAGATATAGGTTGGAGGTGAATGAGCAGATGGAATGAAAGGTGAACATTATCTTTTAGTTTGGCTGTGCTTCAGCTTGATTGTTTCAAGTATGAACTTGTTTTCACAGATGATTACCTCTAGAGATGAAGAGTCATTCCAATATGCCCACAAATAAAACTGGACCCTTGTAAAACCTGATAGATTAGCACTCTTCTGAAAGCTGTACATATGATGCTCTCTGCCTCACCCTTGCATGTTTATGCAAATATTGCTCACTTTATATGTTAGAATTTCACATAATAACAATTACTGTTGATGGAAAAATCTTACAACAGGTGAGATACATTCACCTCCAGTTGATTTAAAATGGACATAAACTGACAGTGGATTTAGGTGAGGAATACAGGAACTCAAGCCTGGAGCACAAGTCGCTGCCTGAGGTTCCCTGACTAGGCACAGTCACTTATCTTATGGCTCGACTTGCTTTCTCCCAACAATCTATCATTTGGAAGTTTCCTGACGTTGATGCAGTCCTTTGCTTTGCTTTGCTTTGCTTTCCTTGGCTTCGTTACTGGCAATAAGAAATTTAACTAAAATGTTTATTTTATTTTATTTTATTTTATTAAAAATTGTAACCCACCCTTTACAGTGTCTCAGGGCAGTGATAACATAGATAAATAAGACACAACATCACATAAAATATGCTGGGTGGAGATGGTATTTTGCCTCTCCTGCTGTTGTTTTTGTCCTGTATACTACTAGAATAAGGCCTCTGAGAGTTTATAATGTGGGGACCCCACCCCACTTCTAAATTTGCCATTATACCACTGGGCACACAAGTCCATATGAATGAGTACCCGGCATCCAGAAAATTAATCCAGACTCCAGACTGGGCCTGAACTCCTACTAAATGATAATAACAGTGGTAAAAGCATGCTAAAAAATTGAGGACACAAACAGGACCATCCCTGCCTAATTGAACTCTTAAGAACTAGAAGCAGCAGGCTCCATTCATATGCATTTGTGCAAGCTTGGTTGTGCAACCAGTTGAACAAGCAGAAAGAACAACCACTTGAACCACAGAACTCTTGCTGAAGCTCTAACAACACTTGAGTTTGCAGAGTGAGACAGTGGTTACTGCCAAACTATACTAGCATGGATGGCTTACAGCATGTATTTATATAGTACTAACTGGCCATCTTTCATCCAGTAATCTTAGGTGTGAGGTACTGAATGTCATATGGTATTTTCTCTGCACTTCTCCAGTTATTTGGCACAGTAATCGCATACATGTTTCTTAATGTGTATCAAAGATTTTCCCCACCCTCTGGCCACATTTTAATGTGATACCAATCAAAGCACTTTCAGGAGCTTTCTAGGAGGCGGTTTAGGTTTGATCAATCTCTCAGTCAACACATACCTAAAGGAAAAATAACTCACTCATCCATTCAACCCATGTTTCACCATCAAAAATTGCCAAGTCAAACTTTCTAAATACAGCTGTTACATAAAAACTCTAAATTCAGCCATACATGCAGATCTTTGTCTCTTGTACAAGGCAATACATAAAATCACTTACACTAAAGGGAATACCCATCCACAAATGAATATCTGGTCTGTTGTGGGTCTTGATAGGCTTTAGATTCATGACATGGACAAGTCACTGCTTCATGTCTTTTCTGCAACACTATTACCCATGATATCTACATGTAACGTATATGGAATATTGGGTAAGTTTTTGATGGAAAAAACTCATTATGCCATGCATTGCCCTGCTGATACCACCACTGACAGATGATCATACAAGGGTGGGGGGAAGTGGTGGCAATTTTGTGTCTCTGGTTATGTCATTCAAATTGGAAATGAATCACCATGCTTTATCACCAATTTGTCTAATGTCCTTCAAAGATTAAGTTTAGATAGATATCCTGAAATCATTTTAGGACAAAAACCATTTAGTTCTTCTTGCCAAAGCACATGTTGTAACAAGGCTGCTGAAATTTCTTAAAACAAAACAACAAAAAATAGCTCAGAAAACACATAAGCAATCACAGAACATACCTATGCTCCAGTCCACTTCTTCCATAGCATCCCCATATAATCCATGTTCACTCTTTCCTCTAAAGGCTTGGGATGCATAAAGAGCTGTATGGACCTGAGGATAAGACAGGAAAAGAAGAAATGGTGTATCAGTGTTCCTGAAACAGAAAAAAGGAGAAATAAATACAACAGGTAGAAAATTAGAATCCAAGCAATATATAAAAACCTTTCTTTGGCAATATATCATGATCTTTATCAAGAACAGCTCTCAGAGAGAGCGTGTAGCATGACAATACAGTAAGACCCAGTTCTGAGTCAGTTGGCAGTGGCTTGACTCCTATTTATTTCTATGCAACAAATGAAGGTTTTGCATCTGGAAAATGCACCTTCCAATATTTCAGGTGTTACAAAACTTAACAGTTAAACTTAACACCTCCTCTCTCATCAAGTGGGAATATTTCTTCCCCACATGTATAAATATATTTAATAAATAATTAAATGCACAATAATAATTGCATATGTCATAAACACTTTGCACAAAGCAGAGTGTTTCTATCAGCTTACTTCTTGCCCTAAATATTATGACTGGAAATGGAAAGGCTTAACTCTTGTCACTGATGACGTAATAATGAATCAAACATAGATCTTGAGTTGAGAGCTTCAACATAACACTACAGGGTAGAGATCCAGTTTCCCATATAGCAGCACAAAATAATGAAGGGAGATTGATTAAAAACAATACAAAAGGGAAAGCTTATATCTCTTGCAACAGCATCTGATGGGAAGATTGGATTATAGTGCTAAATACAGGACAGGTACAAGTTACCACTTCTATTACAAATGCCCAGTTTCAGGAAAGAACAACTGCAGTTGCAATATAAAATATGCCACCACAAGACAGAGTTCTTACTCCAAGAGCAGGTATCTAATGGATGGTTCATATGGATAGCTATAAAATCAGGCACTGGTTTGCTTTTTACATCTGCCAAGACTGATTGACAGTCAGCTCTCAGGTGAAGAATCTCACCTATTAATATCCTGAAGATTAGAAAATCAGAGGTGGCTGTTTTTCTTATGCCAACCTCTAGGCCGGAAAATAATGATTGACTACCTCTTCTGTGACCTTGAAAATGGAATGGCACATCAACTTGTAAGAAGGAGAGAGATTTGACAATAACAGTTAAAGTCCTGTTTTATTAAGTGAAACACTTCAGCAAATGGCTGCTTTGAAAATTTACTACCGTTCCCTTCTATACAGTTTACCAAGACAGACCTTCCTTTCTCAGTGCATCTAAGTTTTATTCATTGAGGGGGCAAATGAACAGGATTCAACTCACTTTCAGGTGTGCCATAAATGTCTTGTTTAATGGAAAGGAACATAACATTTGGTCTTAAACAGTTGGTCTCCATTAAAAACTAGTAACAACAGATGCTATTGCCTAAGAGTCAGTCTCCTTGAATTGTAGCCTAAGATAAAGTTACCCTTACTGGTACAGTCACAAATTCAACAATATTGTATAATTCCAATAGTGAGAGTTTCAAAACTAGGGATGCCACAAGAAGTCCCCTGATTGATTACTCAGAAGGAGATTGCTTTAATTCTCAAGGTCAAGGCACTCTATTGCTATGCTCTTTCATCTCTTGTCCTTCCTCAGAGGCAGTGCAACTTCTCTGTCTGAAGCTACAGGTCATGGCCTTTCTGACTATTGTAAGCCATAGAATGTGAGAAGAAGGCTGCTGAAGAGCCAAGGACCTTCTTGAAAGTATTTCCAGCAAGTGGAGCATTTTCAACCTCTGGGGATTTGTCTGGGTGTTCCAATTCCAGCCCAGTGTTCACTTACAGAGTGAACCTTGGGCAGTGGAGAAGGGAGGCAGGCAGCAGAGTCATGTGCCTTGAAAGCATTTGAAGAGGATGCTGGCAAGTCCTCAGCAAAGGATCGGGCCTTTGCAAGATGAACAGGGCAACACTCATCCAAACCATGTGACTCTATTTTACAAATGTCAAAATCCCTTCTTTGACAATAGTCAGGTTAAAAAGGTTGCAGAGGACTTGATTGGAAGTATTTCCATGGCCAAGCTTGAGCCCCGGAATCACTAACCTTCTCTCAGTGTGGTGAACTATAATTGCACAGCAGCGCAGAAGAATTCCATTCTCTAATGAGTCATGCTCTACTCATAGGTGATAGAGTCACCTACAGAACCCATATGGAAGCAAGGTCCAGTGGATAGCATGTGTGCAAAGATACCCAAACATGAGGCACTTGACTTTTATGTGCACGTGCAATTTCAGTTCCATCTAATAGGAGGGGAAACCGGGAATGCTCATTATAACGCCACCGGCATCAGCAGATGTCATCAGTAGCCCACACCAAGGCATTTAGTCTCTGATGGAGCCAAATATGGTAGGGTTGTTGTTCCTGATGTTTCTACAAAGCTGTGAGAGGTCTGCCTTTCCCACATCAGTGATAGTAGCACCAGGGCTTCAGCAGACTTAACAGTGGCCTCAAGTTCCAGAATGGGTCAATTATATAATTTGATCAAGGCCTCAATCCAGACTGATGAGGAAGGAGGCTTGTTGGGAATACATGGGATTTCGGATCAATTTTCTCAAAATCATGCCCCTAAACTATGGATTTATCAGATTTGCCTCAAAGGAAACCTTATATTTTTACCCTTTTCCTGAGGAAATATTAATTATATTAAAGCATCCCACCACCACTTGTAGCACAACTTAACTGGCTGTCTCTTTAGGAATGCTGCTTGTACAGCACATAGCATTCAATTCCTGATGAGGATCATACAAACACTAGGCACGTCTGCCAGGAACAGAGTCTTAGAGCTGTATCAAAGCAGGGTGGAACCCAGGGAATCTGACAGGATCCCACTCCCAAAATGGATTCACAAATCCCTCCACTTGCTGATTGGATATGTGCCAATGGTGGGAGGACTGAGTGGGGAGGACGGAAACCACAATAAAGTAGAAACTGCTTGATCATCTGTCGGATAGATCATGGTTAAAAACCATGACTCATGGTAACCACAATGGGTTGCTTGTTGTGTTGTGTGAATGGAATGTATATACAGTGGCAGTTCCAAGTTTTGCACGGGAAGAAAGGGAAATAGGCAGGATGCTTCCAGTGCTCCTCTACTTCTTGCCTGTTGTTACTGGTGCCTATTTCCTTTCCTCTGGGCCCAGCTGGCACCATCTTCCAGAAGAGAAAGCAACATGTGTAGACACCATTCCTTTCCTTTCTTTCAACTGAAGGTCAAGAAAAATAGACCCTTCTCAACACCCCCTTGCCTCACATCACTGTCAAGTTTGCAATAATGATTGTGGAGGAAAATATTTGCTAGTGGGGAGCTGCATATGGCAAAATGGATGACACTTTGTTCCACCCAATTCCTTGTTTTAAAGAAATTTCAGCAGTGCGTTGGTGTTGGGGGTTCCTAATGGGTTCCAGGGGAGAAAAATCGAGATCTCCAGAAGTTGCCCATTCCTGTTCTCAATATTTGCCCACTCAGATAGGCTAAATGAATAGGCAGAAACAGTTGCCAAGAGGCTGGGATCTGGCCTTCAGGAATCCCAAATGCCTGCCCTGTGTGGTGTGGGATTGGTGTGTGTGTGTGCATTTGTGCGAGTGCATGCACATGTGGACAGTTGCTTCACATGTCTTTTTTGCTCTTTCTAAAGGTACTTTATAGGCCTCCTGACTAAGAAACAATGCATACCTATAAATATAAAAGCAAGACATGTACATAGTTGTAAAGCTATTATTTAAGCCAAAAAAGAGTTTGTTGCTTTTGTGAGGCAAACAGTTGATCTAGTTCATATTTTATAGCTTGGCATATATCATGTCAGGAAAGCATTTAAGGTATGCCTGGATTTTAAAACAAGTTAAAAATAAACAGTGTCAAAACCAAATTCAAATATAGAGCAAAAATGAGAAGAATGTGGCTGTCATTCATAGGTTCAGGAGGTTTTTTATTTTTAAGAGAAAAATGTATGCCTGAGTTATCTGTTCCTATACAGAGTAATTTCCCCATGCTTTCAAATAGCTACATATATTTGACATTTATTTTTCAATCCTATTTCAATCTTAAATCTTCAGATATACAATATCAAAAAACTATATATGCTCATTTTCCCCTAAGACTATAAACAGACTTTGCTATCCTCGAGAAAATGTAGAGGATATTTTCTTTTCTTTTTTTTCTTTTCTTGTAAATGCAAGCACAGATAGACCTTTTCACACTGTCACAAATAGAGAAAAAGGTTTTGATCGATAATGAAATCTATGCAATTCAGCATAATGATGTAAAAACAAGAGCATTCCTGAGGCATTCATATGTGGGGTCTTCCATTGTGGGATGTGGGCAGGAACTGCCCTGCTGTCTGTATTGTACTCCTTGTTTTTTCTATTGTACTCTTCTGTTAAATTCCTGCCACCTTCGAGATGTGTGAGAGGGAAAGTCTGAAGAGAGAATTCTACGCTGTTTCTTTTGACATCTTATATAACTTGGTGTGGTCAGGGTTCTAAGAGCAAACCAAAAGTTTTGGTTCAACATTGTCTCTCCATGTCTCCTCTAAGTCTGCACAACCCCAGTTTGGATCTTGACCGTGGTATTTTGAGAAAGAAAGGCTTAACCCTCCTTCCCCATATTAGAGGCAAGGTTTGCTAAAAGAGATGATCAACTGGGATATCAGTGAGACCTAAATTAATGGAGCCTTAAAGTGCTCAACTTTTGAAGGTTGTGTTTTCTATAGCCAGGGAATGGCTTGCTAGACCCAAATACCCGCTTTAATATGTTCTAGGAATATTGGAGGAATGACTTCTATAATATCTAACAACCCTATCTACACACATGCAGGAGTAAACTGAGCTGAATCTGTTTCAGACTATCCATGACTCAGAAGCATCAGGAAAAAATTATTACATTTCATACTTATCCAGCTTCAAGAATGAGGAAAATTTAAATGTATACATTGTATTTAATATACAGTATTAACACATAATATGTACAGTATATATAGAAGGGATGCATTCTATATAATATATAGTACTAATTAATATTCTATAGTGTACAAACATTTTAAGGAGTTTCAGTGTTCTAAACAGTGAGTAAAATAGGATAGTCCAATTACAGACAATCCCAAAAGCTCCACAAATCTTTGAAAAGGAAATGTTGACCATGCCTTTTCTATGATTCTCAACTTCGTTTTTTCTATTTATATTACTTAAAGATAGTTCAATTTGTTTATTTCCAAATAGCAGAGGTCAGTCACCCCAGCTTAGAGAACTGGAGAGTTTACACAATTTTTGAAGAAGGTAATTCCTCTTACCAATGGTACATCTACTGATGATATATTCTAATAAGGTATAAGTGTTAAATACACTGAATGTAGTGTTAATTAAATAATTACCACATGGGGCTGACATCTTTTTGCCATTATCTGCATGTAAATTATAATTAATCTGCTATATACAGGATGCATGCTTATTTCAGTATGAATTTCTACAATTACTTTCCTTTTGTAGGAGAAGGAGAGCGTACTTAAAATTGCTGTTATTTTGTAACATTTATATGTTTATAAAGAGGAAGAGCACAGAGGCAGGAGCAGAGGACTGCAAGGTCTGGGCTGGGTGTGGGCAGCAGGAAGCTAAACAGAGGGACCAGGATCCAGATAATGCAGTCAATAAACTATTTGGCTAAAGTCCAGTCACCAGTCAAATCCAAGTCATTAGCCAGAGCAAGCTAAGGTCAAACCAGAAGCAAAAAGAAGAAGCAAGCAAAGTGTAGTCCAGAGAGAAAAGCATTGCCAAAACAAGCAAGAGGTCAGGAGCCAAAAAGATAACATGAAGGCAGGGATACCTTTGGAGCGCTGGGGTTCAAGGAGAGGATCAAAGTCCAGGAGCAAGAAGAGGAGCCACAGAAGACAGGATCCAAACACTACAGAGTGCTTCAGCTCACTGGGGTCCAGTGTTGCTGAGACAGCTTCTGGAGGGAAGGGCCACTTCTTAAATAACTCTTCTCCCAGGGCTCCTAACTGGAGTTCATGATGTTCCTGGCAGCTGCAGTAGTCTACCAGAGCTGTTATTCTGGCATTTGGCCAGCAGGAGGAGCCCTGAAGCTGCCCAGATCCTGACAATGATGCTTGGTTGAATGTTGCATCAGTTTTTATAAGCACAGCAGTATTTCTGGGTCTCATTTTTTAAAAGCTGTTTTCCTAGAATACTCATACACTTTTCCTAGCATACTCAAAACTAGCTTCTCCAGGCTGCTTAGACAACACTTATTAAGGAAACTAGTTCTCCATCTTTCTGCAGATATGTGTAAACCAAAGTAAGAGGTGAGCCAAACAACATGTTACACTTACATGATGTGTAACTGAGGGTTAGTTTCTGGTTTTCTGTAGTGTAAGAATGCAATTCAGCCCACTGAACACCAAGAATGAAACCTTCCCCACTTACACATATGGTTTTTCTTGAATATTTGTTGTAAGCCACCCTGAGGCTTCGGCAAATGGGGCGGCATAAAAATGTTTTAATAAATAAAAATAAATAAAAATATTTCCTTGAACATATGGGAGGTGAGAAAAGATATCTCTGGGTGTCAATTTCAAGAAAGAAAATGGATGGGGTGGGGGAGCGACTTAACCTTTTCCAGTGGATGCTGGTCCCATGTGGTCTTACATACTAGTATATATTCAGTTCTAACCTTCAAGCTAGATACTACTTGAAGTTACATTTACTATGGCTCTGAGGTGTTCTGCTGCTGTGATCTAAAATTTCTCTTAATGGATATGTCACCCTAAAGTGAAAAGAAGCTTTGGCTGGGTCCACTATAGGCTAATGTATATTAGTAGAGATTTTGATAAACTTTAAATTGATATATATTAGGTGCCAATTGTATAACAGATCATTTTAACCTTTATGTTCAGTGAGCTTTTTGACAAACCTCTTCAAAGTACTCTGTGTATTAAATTACTGAGTAAATATTCATTTACTAGAAAAACAATGGAAGCAAATAAATCCATTGGGATGTGGAATGCCTACAAATATAGTAGCAGCTTTCACTCACATCTTCACACTTCATTTATTTAGCTTTAAATGCTAATGACATGAACAGGTGGAAAATTACGGACACTGTAAGACCATAAGAAAAGTCATCCTGGATCAGACCAAGGGTCCCTCTAGTCCAGCATTCTATTCAAACAATGGCAAACCTTGTGGTGGTCCACAAGAACCCCAAAGCAGGGTGAGGATAAGGCCACCACCTGCTCAAGCTCCTTAAGAACTGGTGTAATGCAGGTAAACCATCTCTGGTAACAGAGATGCACATGGCCAGTAAGGCTAGTGCCATTTATGGCCTCCTCCATGAATTTGTCCAATTTCCTTTTAAAGCCACCCCAATTGGTTGTCACCATTACTTCCTGTGGCAGTAAATTCATAGTTTAACTGTGCATTGAGGAAGTACTTCCTTTTATCTGTCCTGAATCAACCCCCAGTCAGCTGCATGGGTTTGTATTCATCTACCATATCACAGGTACCACTGTAAATCCAATCACACTTGGATTCTAAAACGAGACATACCTACCTTCTTATAAAACTTTTGGCTTCCTCTGTAAATCTTTGAGTTAGGTTCTCATAGTTCCAGGGTTGCTGAATAATACTGTGATTTCTCATCAAGAAGCAGTTTAGATACCGAAAGTTATAAAAGAAAATCAGCAAAATTCCACTTAACACTGCTGCCAGTAGGATGATGTAACCCAGTACTCTGTGAGGAACTTGAATGAGGCCAATATAATGCAGAACCTCCAAAGAAATTAGTGCAATCCCAGTGATCTGAAATGCTGTGGGAATGTACATTTTAATGCCACTGATAAATACGCTTCCCTGTCCAGGTTTGCAATCTCTAATATTGTTCACAGGGATTCCATAGAAATAATCAAATCCATGATTTAAAGGATGGTGGCAGAAGTCATCACTGCTGTGGCAGTTCAGTCCAAGATGCCATTTTCCTAAGCAAAGAAAGATAAATATATATTTCAGAGAGAAATTTAGTTGTAGGCTTGTGGCCTTCCCATTTTAGGAAGAAAGAATATAGAATATGAACCAGGATAGTGAGTCATGTATAACAGGCTGATAAAACTATGAAATATCAAATTAAAAATGGAATATCAACAAAGCAAAACTCCCCCTCTTGAAAGGATACTTAATGTGATAAAGGGGCTTGACAGTGCTAGAGATCCCACGAGGAATGCTGCCAGGAGACCAGACTCGTCTGTCTTTTAGCAGTCACCCATGATGGAATGGTTGAAGCAGAGATACCAGACTAAGATATATTCACCTTCTTCAGGATATTTCTAATAGTGATGGGGGCAAAGAAACTCCTGAGGAGCAGCCACTGGGCTGCAGCGGTAAGGGAATCAAAGGACACCAAGAGAGCATCTTTCACAAACATCAGCAGGGACCCTGAAGTTAACTCTGCTTAGGACTGAGGCAACTGAGTACTGCGGCTTTTCATAGAATCACAGAATAGTAGGGCCAGAAGGGGCCTACAGAAGGGGCCATCATCAAGTCCAACCCCCTGCTGAAGCAGAATACCAGTTATACCCTCCCACTCAGATAACTGTCTATCTTCTTCTTGCATGTTTCTAGTGTAGAAGGGCACAAAATCTCTTAATTTCGTATTTTACAAATTGTTACACCAGGTACTCTCAAGAAGCAAAAGGGGCTGTTTGCCCTCCAGACTCCCTCAAAAGGATTGTGGTCTTTTGTTGGGTTGTATTGTGGACTACCCTAGTTTTGCATTAGCACACGTACAAACCACACAAAGCAAGGAAAGTCTGCTCAGCAGAAAATATAGAGCAAGCATAAAACTCTTGGCCCAATGTTGTCTGGCAGCAAGTATTCCTACTGAATTCCATTCTTTATCTCTATATAAATATAGAACTTCCTACCTAACAGCATTATAGAGAAAAACTAACAGAAATGTGTGTCTCTGTGTGTGTGTGTGTGTGTGTCCTAGCCTGCTATCTGTGTGTGTCCTGAACAGGAGGTTCCTTGTGTGGGCAGGAAGGGGTTTGCAAAGTCCACATTTGGGGTTGTCAGAACTTATCTCACCCTTATTTTCAGAATTTTCCACATTCTTTTTCTAATTCCCTCTTTACCTCTACTTACTTCTATGGCAATAGGAAGCTTCTCATTGTTTCCCAGGCTTATTCTAATTGATGAATGGGTGCTTGATTGCACTTGATGACCTTATCTATTGGTGTTTGCTTCATGATCATGTCTTTGGGTAAAATGGTGAGTTCTTTGTCTGTACTATTGATGGGGTAATTTCCAGGTGCTGGCTATTGGAGAATGGCTATTTTTGAAAGTAAATCAAAGCCAGCTAGATGTCAAGGTAACTTGTAAGCTAGTCTCATAAATACAGATAACTGTAATAATGAAAGTAAGAGAACATTAACAAGCCATAACACCATTTCATCTTAACAGTCATACAAAATTCAATAGTTCAGGGAAAACAAAAGCATCACCCATCAATTGTAATAATCCTTTTATTCCAGAGGGTGTTTGTACTGTATTTGACCATTGGAATTTCTATGGTTTTTACTGTCTTTACTGCTTTATTTTAAATTGACTTACTTGCTGATATTCCATTTCTAATTTCCAAACTGCTTTCAGAGAACCATTTTCTGTCACAAAGAAGGAAATAAATTTCTAAAATAAATTAATCATGCATATTTTATGCACTCATACCTATAATCGCAGTAGAATAACCCTTCTGCTTCAGAAGTTCTGCAAAAGTTATTTCCTCGGTAGGTAATCCCCCAGAAGAGGCAGAAAACAAGAAGACTCCAATTCGATGAAAGCTAGCCATTCCTAAAAAGATTAAAAATACTTTGAAAGTTGAGGAGAAGTTTTCGTTAATAGAATATATTAATTGGTGCTGGCTGGGACATGCTAGTAAGTATAGGGCTTTTTTCTGGATAAACACGCATAAGATTGTACATTTACTACTATTATTGTTATTGTTATTGTTATTATTGCTCTATAAAACTCTTAGGACAGAGGTGCCTAACTTGTGGTTCTCCGGAGAGCCTTTTCCCTACAACTCCTATAAACTCACAGTTGGGTCTGCTAGCTTGAATGTGGGCTGTAGTCCAAAACATCTGGACAGTTCCAAGTTGCTCACTACTGCCCTAAAGAAAAGCTCTACGTGCAAGTATATTTTAATTGGTAATTATTTCCATTACTTTGGTACCATCACTGAAAATATCCTATTTCTTGTGTATGATAGTCTGATTATTTGCAAAGTTGGTAAAGAAAAAGGGCCTTGCCAATACTTTCTTATTTATAATTCGACCCTTTATAGCACTTATTCAGTAGTAAGTTTAGGAAGTTATTCACAGGAAAGTGGGCATAAAAACCGTTGTTCCACACCAGCTGTAAGTTGGGAGTGAGAAAATGGCTGCTTTGGGTGCTTATTCTCAAGGACTGCTGGCTGGGATTCATCAGAAGCAGAAGCAGAATGGGAGAAGTTTGGAGGTATGCGCAGTGTGGAGTCACTGAGATGAAAGATATGGAGGTGTTCATCTCAAGGCCAGGCAGTCCCAGAGTCATCAGCAGAGGCCAGAGGCCCAGTTAGATAACTGGTGCATGGAGAGGAGGTATGCTTGCTTTCAGATTAGCAGCAGCCTTCTAAGGTTTCAGGCAGAACTGTTTGTCAGTGCTACCTAGAGATGACAGGGATCAAAATGGGACCTTCTGCTTGGATGTACTACATACATGAAAAGCTCACATCTGCCATGAAGTCACTGGGTATCCTTGAGGATGCTACTATCTCTTACTGTCAGCCCCATTTCACTTTCAGGGTTGAGCAATAATGACCTACCTTTTGCAAGGCTTAGAAGTTTACACATGAGAACCACTTTGGACAATCAGACTAATACATAAGGGGGAAAGGTTGAAATCTGAAAAAATTAGGGGGGTATTTGTTTCTTCTTGCACCTTTCTGCACACAATTCCCTTCTCCCAGACTTAAATTCCTTCTCTGTTATCAACAACGACATGATATCAGTTGTATGATTCCTTGATAAGGTGTTAGGTATAAAATATATCCAAGGTCTGTCCCTTTGTGGAAGGAAGATTGAAAAATATAAATGACATTACAGGACTGACAGCAGAAACAATACTTATTTTCTCCCCTCTATACAATGTAAGTAAGGAACAGACACACAGGGAGAGTGCCTTAAAGAGGAGATCCTTCCGTGAATGTATAATGATGCTGGGTTGCTTAGGACAAATGTAACACTACTAACACTCCAGCTGCTGAAATATCTCTGTGCATAAATATTGCAAGCACATGTGTGTGTCTGGAATAAGCAAGCTGCTTGGGAAAACAAACTTCAATAGTATGGTAATACTATTGTACAAAATGGTAATAGTACAATTCTATATATGTTTACAGAGAAGTAAGGCCTATTGTTTTCAGTGCAGCTTGCTTGCATGTTTGAAAAGAATGTGGATAGGATTGCAACCTAATCTGCTTAGGTTGCAGTGAGTTATCAGCGCAGATCTTAAAAACTGTTCAAGTTAAAGTTATGAACCTCTACTTGTACAGATTAAAAGAGTTCACACAGAAAAACTGAACCTATAATGGTATGTAATAACACCAACTGTTAAAATGTCAATTATGCCCCAACTGATATTTTAAAAATAATATTCTTGTGATATTCTTCGTAAGTCTTAATAACTTCACTAAAGAAATTGAGAAATTCAACAGAGAAGCCTTATCCTATGGTGGGGGGGGGGGGGGGGGGAAGAAGGCACAGGTTCCTGCAGCGAATATTATCAAAAGAGAAAAGAGTTTCGCAGAAGAAGAAATGCTGCTATCTGATATCAAAGTCTAATGTGAGGCTGCTCAGATAAGCCAGGCCAGTAGAGCAACCAACTGGACTTCTCCCCTTCCTAAATCAAGGTGCAGTGTCGCTGGAGGCAGTCAAGTTATCTTGGCAAATGAGACTGAATCTCTCCTGCCCTTCCAACCCACGACTTCCTGGAACTAAGAACACAGCAGAAATAGAACAAATAATTAACAATTGACTGCCCTTTCATGATGTCCCAAAGCAATGGCCTGCTGCAAATGCCTCAATCTGCCTAATGATTAGAGCAACCTTGCAGATTAACTACTTGGTTCAACAGCTCAAGAGTACAGCACAATATAAAATGAGGGCACTGCAGAGCAAGAATCTGTTTTCATATTCTTAAGAGTATTCATAGTTATTAAAAAAAACTATAAACAACAAAAAGATATGAAATAGACTAAAGGATGGTGCTGCATAAGAAAAAGAAAAATCTCAGCCAGGCAGTTCTCTTATTAGGAATAAGTGGAAGATAAAGACTTCTTGGTTTCCAACATGAACTTACCCTTTTTCTGAGAGTCTCTTTCCTCAGTCCCTCAACCTGCTTTTGTAACATGCTGCCTGAGGAAGAACTATGGAGATTGCCTGCCATTTTGTACATGATGGCCAGATCCTAATAATGGCATTGTCCAACTGTGTATTTTGGAATGAAAATTTAGGAACATACTTTACCTGATCTGACAGGATAGCGGCCTGTCAAGAAAGCAGCCCTGCTTGGAGTACATAGAGGTGATGCAACTATATGATGAGTCAGTTTTGTTCCTTCTTTAGCCAACTTGTCAATATTGGGAGTTCTGAGGGGGGAAACAGCATTATTTCAAATATGAGTAAATGCAGACAATTTAAAATGTTCATGATATTCACCTAGCTTAGGCTTATCCAACTGGTTGTTCTCCATATAGTTTTAATTGTGGCTCTTACTGGCCTGAGACAACATGCTATGGTTAGGGATGATGGGATTTGTTGTCCAAAACTTCTGGAGACTATCATGTTAAGGAAGCCTGCTCTAGGTTATGACTTGTACAATACATACAATATATCAGAAGAGCTGGTTGGCTAGAACTACACCACAGTGTGTGTGCATGCGTGCACACCTGCATGTGTGAGCGAGAGAAAGATGATAATGATGGTGATGATTAGCATACTATATCAAGTAAATAAAGATTTGAAGGAATGTATGCTTTGAAACCACTAGTTGATCATATATATCCTTTACTCAAATTTATTTGCACTCTTAGTCTGTGCTTAAATATGGAGGGAGATATTTTCAGTTCATGTTTTTTCTCTTCTCAGTCTACATAAATCATAACATTCCAAAGAAGGATAAGTGTATAAGCAAGAGAATATATCCCGCCCTTTGCAGACTCCGTAGCTCTCAAAACTGCCAACATCCTTTCTCCTTGGGCAATAATGCTTAGCCTCCATTGCTCAGGGGAAGCAATGGTGACAACTACTATGTCAGTGGGGCTCCTCATCTATGGCAGCTTTTCTTTTCAGCTTTGTAGGAGCTATCTGTGATGCTGATCTCCATCTGAAGAATAGGGTCACTATCCTGAAGCACCATGGATAGCTTTTATAGAGCTGAAAAGGAAAACTTCAATGGATAACATACCTGCTGGCCACAGGAGTTACCAGAATACCCCCCCACCACCACCACCACCATTATTCATGACTTAGTAACTTCCAGAACATTGTATATGGAGCTTCATGGGCAGATTGGAAAGGTCTCCTAGGCTTCACATGGAAACATATGTGGTTATTGTTTAAAAACACAACACATGCTCCCATTCTAATTTTGGGCATGTGCTGTCAATTATCTTTAAAGCATTGAAAATCTTGGGGCATGGGTGATAAGCTGGCCACTTACAAAGCACCAGTAGATGAGGTGACATGACTTTTCATCAAATTTGGACCATCTGCACGTATTTTTTAATGTGCACTCATGAAAAATTATAGTAAATCTTCCTATTTACTATAATTTGAAGGAAGTAGGAAAACCAGTGGAAAAACAGTTGGAAAAACAGTGAGCAGGTAGCCTGTATACCAGTTCAGTCCACTACCCAGGTGGTAATTGTTGACAGGCAAATTCTTGCTCTGTCATGCGGACTTGGACTGGACAGTCCTTTAAATAGTGGATAACTCAAACAGAAGGCTGTTCTCTGACTGTGCTGCATGCTCTGATACTAAGACTGGAGGTATCATGTCTTCCCATACAAGCCTGCCTGTACACCAAGCTAATCTTTGGAAGTCCTCTTCTAGGAAGCCCATCAAACATCAGGAACGTGATGATAGGAGAAAGGAGACTTCATAGGATTGGCAGTCCACCTGCAGAAGTTACAGGAAGCATGCCAGGTGCCTTCTCCAGAATATTTCACTGCTACAGGTTTACATTTTTATTATTCCAGACCTTTCACATTGTGCATGATAATTATATTATGCCATTTGTGGCTGCTATCCTTTCCATTATACTATTGTTTTCTTATGTGTTTTATTGTTTTCTTTCTGAATTGTTTCAGAAATATTTCCAGTGAAGGGAACATAGAGATTTGTAAAATAAATATATAAACCAGGCTACACAATGCTATATATGTGTGCCTGGTAGTAAGTCATGGGGCAGATTCACTTCAATGTAGATGTGTACAGGATTGTGTAGTTGATATATCTAGGGGATTTGTGGGGGAATTGAGCCATAAAACAGTTGCTATGGAACATGCAGTGAACAGCATATGCCATACAATATTGTAAATAATTTTCATTGTAATTATTTACAATATCTTTATTGTAAATAATTGCAAAATTATCACTGCTGTTTGTTGCAATTTTTATGGAAATGGCTATTCTCCTTTCTTGCTTATTACAATCAGTCCTCCATAGCATTTATTTATTAGTTTTGCTCACAATCTTTCTAACAAGACAGTACACAACATAACTTACAATCACAAATAAAACTTGATTAGAACAAGAATAAAATATTAAAATAAATTAAAATGCAGCAAGAAAAAGCAGCATCTAAACCAACAGAACCACTTACACACTTGAAAAAAGACATCTTTTCCTGATGGAAGATGGACAACAGAGAGAATGAACCAAGCTATTCTTGGTTCCATTGTCTGAGAGTAGCTACTGTGAAGTATTCCCATGTCTCACCACCAATTATGCCTCTGAAGGTATCAAAAGAAGATCTTCCAAAGATCTCAAAATCTGGGTGGACTTGAATGGGATAACACAGCCTTTCAAGCAGCCTGGTCCTAAGCTACTGAGGGGAATCTAGGTCCTAATCAACACTTTGGATTGCTCCCAGAAATAGGCTGGTAGGCAGGAAAGCTGTTGTAATAAAGGGGTCATGTGTTCCTATAAACTGCCCCATTCAACCCTCTGGCCACAGCATTGTGGATGAGCTGAAGTTTAGGAACAGTTTCAAAGACAGCCCCATGTACAGCATATTACAGTGGGCTAAACAAAATGTAACTATGGCATGCATGATGTGCCTGGATCAGGCATCTTTAGGAATGGACACAGTTCACCCAGTAGCCTTTGCTGTTCAAAACATACTCCTGGGTGTTGCCAAAAGTTGAGCATCCATTTCAAGTGCTATCTTGTTGCTGAAAGTAAGAGGTCTTCCAGAAGAATGGAGAATGCAGTTCAGCACTGCAGATATTATTGAATGTAGATTAAAAGACAAACTTTTAAGAGCTAAGCATTTGACGGTTCTGCTTGATTGGGCAAATCTGTCACAGTCACATTCTTTCACTTTCACATTAAAAAAAATATGGTTCTTTCCATTCACCTTGCTCAGATGCCGTGACAATCCACCATGGGCACCCATCTATGGTAGGTTGTTTTGTATGAACCTGGCATAGTTTCTGCAGGGTTGCTTATTTTTCATGAACAGGCGGCAGAATCAATCCTTAGTTTTTATCTACCCCTCTGTTGCCTCACAAATAGATTCCAGGAACGCATTCTCCCTGGGGCTGCCCTCAAAGCAGGATCCATGGCTCATGCAGAATGCACAGCATGTCTCGATACGGATGTGAATAGACATGAGCATGGTCAGCCAGTATTACATTCTCTTTTCACTTTGCCTCCTGGCTTTCTGGCAGGGTTTTAGGAAATCTTTTTGTGAGTTAGAAAATCATGAGTCTTTGGGATACCTGAGTTTAATGCTATAAAATAGCTTTGACTGTTTTTCTTTTTTAGCTTTGCTTTTTTATTTTAGAAATACTATTTCTATTGCTTCACAATGTTGTTGTAGTGTACATTGAAGGTTTTTGTGTTTGGGGAGTATGGTAGGATTGAATAAAAAGCATACTATGTAAAAATTCTATTTTTTCTGTCCTTCCAAGACTATGAATTCCTGTTTAATGGACTTGTTTAATTAAACAATTGTATATAGTGAATGCTGATGAGGATGAGCTAATGCCTTGAGGAACCTTGGACAACCTGGTCAGTGCCAGCTCTAGGTTTTTGAGAGCCCATGGAAAAGACACAGTCTCCCCCAGTAAGTCTACCTTCCCACAACCTTTGTGACCAGTTGCTACAAATCTTCATCCTCTTTCTCCTCATTCTTTTTACTTAGTTACTTGATAGGCGGAGAACTAGTTATTAGGTAATAACATTTGCTCCTCCTTCTCACCACTGCAGTTGCCTGAGCCTGAACAAGAGACAGGTAAATAAGCAGGTTACAAGGCTGAATAGGAGAAGCAATTCCAGTCAGCAGGCCCCTGCTGAAATATGGTCCATAAACAGTTGCCCAGCTGTGCAGATTCTTGACAGTGGCCCTGTTCTTTATGAAGTTCCTACTCTGTCAGAAGACCGTAGCACATTTACATGTATGGCATCTCATTCTTGACATGAGAATTATAGATAAATTTGACAGTGCTTCAAATACAGTTGGATCTAGCCACACTTTCTCATGGCAATTGTGGGAATTCAAAGGATAGCCAGACCTACTCATGCCAGTACTTTAAATGTAGGGTCATAAAAAGAAATAAAATAAAGAAAAAACGGGGGGAAAATCAGCCATGAGCCTTATGAGGGTGGCAGGTTCCGAAGGATGCTCAAGGATGCCATTAAAAATAGTTTTTGTCTCTTACTAGAAGAAGCAAATCAAGGTCATCCAAACAGAAGAATGCATTTTTCCCAATCAAAAAAGCAGCCACAACCAACTTGAAGTTGTGCTGTGTTGATTTTGATCTTCCACAAATGCTCTGACCAGAAGACCCCTTCTGTAGTGGCATGCATCAGGCTGAAAATCATTACAGTTGAAGTATTTCGAGTATATATTTAAATAAATCATGCACACAGATCACCAAGAATGTTAACAAACCTTAGAGTTGTGTTTCCATAGCATCCCAAATCTCCAATGCCAAGGTCATCTACCATGAATAAGACTATGTTCGGCTTTGAAATTCTTCCATTTATTGCATTGCTTGTTTGCCACAGATAAAACATCATCTGAAAAAGGATCATCATTCTTGCACTTTAATTGCTGGATTGCTTCAAAGATACCTGTTTCATAAAGGAATGTTGTTTTATGCACTAATTCTTTTCAAAATTTCCATAATAATTTGACCTTGCAGTTATAATGAAAACAATACCCAAAGGACGAAAGTTCCTTGTGAATCTAAAAAATTATTCATATTATCAGTTTAGAAGAAGTATTTTGAGTTAGACCTTTCATATTTTAAATAGTTTATAATGCCTGTATTTTTCCAACAAATGAAATGAAAAAGAAAAGCCAAATTTTAACAAACAATGGAAGCCTTCCTTTCATATATTTAATAATGTTCAATGACTTTTAAGTACATTGTACCATAATTTCATAGTAAGCCAAACACAGAATCAAAAGAATTACTATCCAGAATAAATACATATTCAAAGTTCCATCTGGATGAATGGGAAGGCATGAAAACGGAGGGGAAAAACATGGTACCCATATAGAGTATTGGAGATTGATTTATTAGCTCTATATCACACCTTTTTATTCTTAAAACAATTCAAAGTAGCTTACATCACTCTTTTCTCCTGTTCTCCATCTTATCCCCACAACAATAACCCTGTGAGGTATTTTTTAAAAAATAATTTATTTTAGCTGCCTTATTACAACATGCCATATCTTCAAAGACCATGAATGAGTAACTTTTACTTTAGAACATGACGCTGTTTGGCATTACACAACAGAAACTGCTATTAAGTTCTTTATTTTGTAGAATTCTAGGTGCAGTCATGCTATAGGCTGAGTTAAATTTTCACCTTGCACTTGGAAAGTTGCTGATCCAATACAAGGACTGTGTTCATATCTACCTCTCGTCAGACTGTTGACCTTCCATTATTGAATGTGCAGCACCTCAGACACGTACAGTGAAGCATAGTCTTGCTAGGACACCAGATGCCTTGTCTAGTTAGAGGAAGCTTTTCTGTGTATAGGGAACCCATGTTAAACCCCCATCACAAGTGTTCCAGCTAATGTGGAAGTTTACATGAACTGATGGACTTGCCCCATTCAGATATCCATGGAAAATGAGCAGATGTATACGGACAATGAGTTTATGTTGGAATAAAGGCTAAAGGTTGCATAATACATGGTAATGTTTGAAATGACCTTCTGATGGTGGCTGAAATGAGGGATATAACATGGCTGGTAGATCATGCCATAATCTGATTTCTGAAAGGCACGCTGCCCTTGTGCCTGGTTTGGAAGCTGCAGCAAGTACAGAGTGAAGCAGCAAGTGTAGCACCTTTGCACACACTGTTTGTACATCTGAGCTAAGGAACCGGACTGACTACCTATTACTGAGTCATTTTCAAAATAATGTTGCTGACATATGAAACTCTTAATAACTTGGGACTGGGATACCTACCAAGACACTTTATGAAGAACAAAGGTAAGCTGTGAGTATGTGATGTTCCTTAAAAATAAACTAACAAGTACACTTAATGAAAGAAAATGATGTTTGAAAAGCACAGCAGTCTTCGCTGAGTTTGCTTCAAGAAAAAGGGTTTGCCCATCTAATTAAATATAATGGGCATGTTAAGCAATATGAAGACTAAGCAAGCAAAAACATTAATAATTAGCTTCGCTAATGACAGGAACTTTTTGAGTATCAATGGTTTAATGGTAAATGTTGCACTGAAAGTAGCGTCATGATACTCCCCGTAGGCACACCCACAAGGAGACGATGGCATTGATGATGGTAACAATTAAATAGAATCGAAGCTCTCTGGGTGGTTCACAAGAGCATCTCAAAAGTGCAGACAGCTGTGTTGATCCTAGCAACAAACCAATTCTAGCTGTCTTCATCTCCAACAAGAACAGGTATTTTGCAAAGCTAATGGGTCTTAATTATCCAGCAAAGCGTTTGCTTTATAGCAGGAGACAATGTATTGTTTCTGGGAAATTTAATCTCTACCCAACTATGGTGGGTTTGCCTCAAAGTTTAGAGGGAACAGCAAATTGCCAGGGGACATCTGCATCCCAGGTAACTGGGAAGTGCCAGTGCTGAACCCTGTCTTGACAATGCTGCTGTTGGTATTCAGCTCATGGGGAGCTCTCTTCTTGGAACAGGCAAAGCAGCCACTACTCTATGTTGCTTTCACACCTCCTGGATAATGTGCAAGACTTATGAGGCATAGTCATGCCAAGGCCAAGGTTGGTAACCACAGCTTTCCTCCATGCATGTACTGCTTGTAAATTACAGAATTACTGAACAGGGATTTTGTGTGTGCATGGGCGAAATCACATTCCAAAAGGCCAATCAATCATATAACAATAGATGAAACAAGTGCATTCTTATTTTGAATGATCTTATCCCTGAAAAAAAAATCTACAGTTGCATTATTAACTCAGTGATAAGCATATCAATCCTTATCTAGTATGGTCAGATCTGCTACCTTCGAGATGGTCTATGGGCATGTAATTTACATGAACCTTGAAGATAGTTCAGAAACATTAATTGGTACAATATATAGCCATCCAAGTGGCTCATGTCAGCTGGAAAACTGAAACATGGTCTTCCTGCAATTCTATTGGTTGCTGGTACATTTCTGGGCCCAATCAAATGTGCTGGTCTAATGGTTTAGAAACTGATTAACAAAAGGACCACCTTCACACATACATCAATATCTGCATTGGAGGCCTTACACAAGTGATTTCCAGTAAGGTTTACTAGGTTGTTTGGCACAAAAGACAGACCATTCTTGGTGGTGGTCCCTCGAGTATGGAATTCATTTCCATATGAAATGCACTTGACCTTATTCAGCTCAGGATCTCCAAGAAGGGCTTAAAATTCAACCTCTTCAATGCTGCCCAATGTTCTTCAGTGCAACTCCCCTAGAATATAAATGTTTTGAGTAGTTAGGAACTGCTTTCAGATACCTATAAATGAACATTTGGTCTATCTGATGTGTCTCTGTTATTGTTTATTGTCATGCATGTGACTTTGCAAGAATTTGGCCTGAAAAGTGCCCAGAAATAAATATAAGCATCCCAAATGATGTGGCAAAGAGACAGAGAAGCATGCAGTAAGTTATTGTACCCTGTTTAATATGCTTCAGTGACAATAAATACCATGTCAGCCTGATCTCACTGCTCAATCCTAACACTGGTTATCCTTTCTAAGTGCCCCTTTTTGATAGAGATTACACTTGATTCAATATAGCACAAAACATAGGAGATGCTACATAGACAATGCAATGTGCTCAAAAATGTAGCAAGCAGAAGTATATTAACTGTTCACAAAAAGCCACTCATATTTTTTCTGCCTAACCATGTCCAGAGATTGCCTTTGTCATATGACACCCTATCTTCTGTATGGCACATTGCAGAATCTCCTCCCCGTTACGACGATTTATCTAATATTTGCTATTTTTCTGCTCCCCTCTGGTCTTCTACACAATAAATTGACACTTGACGAGTAGCTGCAATCTTGTACACAGACTTTCACAGAAAAAGTAGAAAGTTCAGTCTTCTCACCTATTAGCTACTTGTCATCACCTGATCATTCTAGAAACACATAGCAGATGTAGCACAGTTTGTTTCGAAGAATCTTCCAATCCATTTTCACTTCCTAACACATTTTCAAAGCATGACTAACTGGCTGATCTTCACGATATTTCTTTAATTCAACATGTCATGAAAATGTTTCAGAAACACTGCCTATGCTTTCTTGTACAGTATAAAAAAAAGTTTATACAGATAATGAATGTGCAGAGGGAGTCTTCAACATACAACACAGTGATTAACATGGGAACCTAATTGTTTCAAGGAGTTAACAATATTTATTAAAGGCAAGTATTAAATCCATCAGATTTGACAAAGTAAAAGGCAAGGCAATGCTAGGATTATAACTATAACTAAATTATGAACCAAGGATAAGGTCCAAACTGCATGTCCAGTTATTTACTTATCCATTTATTTATTTATTTATTTATTTATTTATTTATTTACTTATACGTGTATTTATGGGCCATCTAAAACTTCTAATGCCTTCCTAGGTGGCTTACAATACATAACATATATTAACAAAATAAAACACATTAAATCCAATTTAAACGCAACAAATTAAAACATCAATGAAAGCAGTATAAAAATGGCCACAGCATTCAGAATAAGTGTTAAAAAATTTCCTAAAAGGGTATGTCTTTACCTAGCGCTGAAAGGAAAATAAGAATGACGCCAGGAGAATTTCCCTAGGGAGGGAGTTCCAAAGATGGGGAGTGGCAATGGAAAAGGCCTTTGCCAAGTTGTCACTCCTCTCATCTCCCTGAGGGGTGGTTCCTATAGAAGAGCCTCCTGAGCTGATCTAAGTGGGTGGGTAGGTATATATGGGTGTAGACAGTCCTTTAGATCTCATAGATGTAGCTAACTCCATCTGTCTGGCTTTAGACTTCAGTAGTTTATATGTTAACTAGAGTAAGTGGTGATGGTTGCTTCCAAAAGTATTTGGAAGCCTGTGGGTATCACTCACAACCTACAGCATCCTGTGGGTACCCCCCACTGGTAATATATGAATGTTATTACTCCTTAAGCTCATAAAATCAGATGGTCATATGGTTTTTCTTTTTTGGGGGGGGGGAGCAAGAATCATGCCACACCAGGAAATAATCAATGGATTTTCCCCATTGTGTGATAAAATACAGGAAAAGTGGGGAAAACACACACAGCATGACTGTAAGAGACTAGTGACATTGTGTAGGCAGTCTGAAAATTCCTACAAAGAAGGCACACAGATTTTATCCTTAACACTCCAATCTGGAATAGAGGAAGAAGAGAGAGTATGAAGCAGTGTTATTTTTAAGGATAACAATGGATTTGCTATGCCAGAATACAATACACAGGCAAGACAGCTAGCAGCCAGAGTACTAACAGCTGCTGGTAACTTGTAACTCTTCTTTTCCAACAAGAACTAGGAGCAGGTGTTCTGTGGGTGGCTGCAAAAGGTCCCTGACAATTTTGTAGATGTTTAAAAATGTTTTTTCTAGTTAATTCAATTTCTTTGTTCTTTATCTTGCCTCTTTTCAAACAATACAAATTGTATAAATTCGGAGCCCAGAACATTAGGAATAGGCTGAGATAGAAATCAAAATCAAGAGATGAATAAATAAAGAATATGTATATCAGATTATGTGAAGAATTGTATGTCTGGATTCATCCCTAGAAAAATAATAGCTATCTAGTATAGCCATTTCATCTTTGATTAAATCATATAAAATTGTAGGTTAATTAATATCAAACAAATAAACCCAAGATTACCATTTCAGTATGGTAGACAAGTAATTAATTTTATGAATTTAGACTATACTTCTTTGAGAAAGAGTCAATAAGTCTATCAAAAAATCCAGGAAACCAAGGATAGATGAGCTTAAAACGGAAACGGTCTCTTTAATTTTGTTGTGGCTTATGGCCCAAAACAAATAGAATATTTATGAAGTGTTCATATATTTCAGAAAACCATGTACATAATATTTAATCAGGGCTAATCCAAGACATTTTGCTCCTTGAGGCAGAGGAACAAGCCTGTTCTCTCAAGTCACAATGCACCATATATTTAAACCTAAGCAGCAAGATGCTGATGTTAAACTTAATTCTTCAAAATCTCAGGCTGATGTCTCATACCCGCGGAGACTTGATCTCTCATAGGATTTCCACAAATATGCAGGTAATGTTCAGTGTTCTCTCAGTCTTGTCATACTGACATGCTGAAAGAGTGGGAAATTATCTAGCTTTTGCAAAGAGAATCAATCTTACTTTGAGAAGGCTGTCTCTGTATGCAGTCTGTCATTTAGTCCACTGTAGAAATTCTATAGGTGGGACACGGCTTGAATTCTGAAAACTGCCAGGCACTGAAGATTGTTCCTGTTGTTTTCAAGGATGTTCTTCTTTACTCTAATTTCTTTCCTCCCAGCTGAAATGACATTCTGATGTTGGCCTGTTCTACCTGTTTCCACCCAGTCACAGTGATCTATGAAATGTCCTCACTTTGTGAGCAGTTACTGATACTAATCCTAACAATGTTTGTGTCAGATTGGGCACAACCACTTGATTTGTGTCTCTTAACTGGGCATAACTTCAGGATAGAAGCATGGTACTGTACTGGAAATACTTGTAAATTATTCCTATTTTAAAAAGGATTAAGTGCTTAATGAACCCATGACACAGAAGCTAATTGAACTTTCATGAACCTACTCAGGTTCCAAGCTATATGGAAATTGCTAGACCTAATTTATCCTGTTTGGAACCAGTACTACTAGCCTTTCAGGCTGATTCAAATCACAATATCTTGGTCATAAAAGATGCAATAGAACATTTTATGCTATTTTAAATTAAACTTATAAATGTAATGAGAATTAGACCACTTCTGATGTTGTAACTTGCATGGAAAACAGGAGAAATAATCCATGTTCCCCTAACTTCATGCAGATATCTTCAGCTACCTTGTCAGCCTACACAACAGTACTGTCTGTGGCATTAGTTTGCTTGAAAAACTCCAGATCAGTGCAGACTGAAATAATTTCTGTCTAGTCCTCCTAATATTTAAGGGCAGCTTTTTTGCTGGTGAATGGCTTTGATGCAAAACATAAATGAAATCCCCTTCCCAGAAATAAAACCCATGCCTACCACAGTACCAAAGGAATATTATCTTGGGGCACATTTCTAACAAAGTAAACAGCTAAACACAATTCCACCACACTTATTTAGAATACAGATTACTCTTGGGTGGAGAACTGGATACAACAGAGAAGGCGTAAACTCTCTAGCCTCTGCTAAGAAATTACTCATTTCTTGTATTGTCAAAATAAATTAAAAGTGAATCTAAATCTTATTTACATCTAATGAATTTTAATTAAATTTCCTGTCAACATCCTGATACTACTTACATGTTTTAAATGTTTGCTATGGTAGCCAAACCATATTAGCAAAGGCATAGTTAATTACCTGAAGATCCAGGATTAATACATACATTTGGAAACAGGTTAATGTTTTACATTATAGGATTTGTTCAAGGAAGAAATAATTGTGAAACATTTTATCAGTCTTTACTATGTAAATGAGTAACTATACAATGCTTGCATATTTCAGGAAAATATCATTAAAGTTTGTCTCCTAATAATCACCATGTCACTTTAAGGACATAAGACTTGTTCTGGATCCTTCAAAATACAGATTAAATGGACTATATATTCTGTATTCTGAAGCTATAGAAACTTTGAAAGAAATAAATTAGTTGGTTTTATTCTCTCATACAGTTAAATGACTGAATATATTTAACCAAACAATACATTAACCAAATAAAACTGAAAAATAATAGGATTAGGAAAAGTAACTCAAGGATTAAAGTATTAAAGTCTTTAAGATAATAAATTTTACAAGTAAAGAATCAGAAGATAGACAAGAGCCCACATAAATATTGCTGGGACTGAAAAAAAGGTCTAATAAAATGTCTTTTAAAACAGTGCTTGCTCTCTCTATCTCTCTCTCTCTCACACACACACACACACACAAATTCTATCTATGCACAGGCCCTATCTTCAGATTATTAAGATTTGCACATTATTGGAAGATCTGGGACAGGAAATCCATTTCTTCTTCTATTATCTCATTCACTGGTTTTCCTGAGTCAACAACTGAATTTTAAAATTTCCATACAGTGGCAGAACAGCCTGGTCCTCCAAACCAGGGCACAGAGAGTTTCCCAAAAAGCCACTGTGAATGCATTGGTGATGGCAGAGTATGGGGAGAAAACACCATACACCTGTATAGCTGGCCCTCTGATATGTTCCACATTCACATTCCATTCTTGCAACCTTATCCCATGTCAAAAACTGCACTGA